CAGGCTGGAGTGCAGCAGCATGATCTTGGCTCACTGCAACCTCTGCCTCCCAGGTTCAAGTGATTCTCCTGCGTCAGCCTCCTGAGTAGCTGGGATTACAGGTGCACACCACCATGCCCAGCTAATTTTTGTATTTTTAGTAGAGACGGGGTTTCGCCATGTTGGCCAGGCTGGTCTCGAACTCCTGACCTCAGGTAATCCATCCGTCTCAGCCTCCCAAAATGCTGGGATTACAGGTGTGAGCCACCACTCCCAGTCTCATCTCTGCCTTTCTTGCTCTTTCTCCCCCTACCCCAAGCTCTAAAGTAACTTTCTGACAGGTTTTTGTCCCATAAGCCTTTCTCCCTAAATATGACATGAAGAGTATGCCTCTACCTATATCCTGGGGTTTGAAAAAAGCCTAAAAATACATTTGCAATAGAACTTAGTGGAAAAAACATGAGTCTTTGCATGAGATAGAATCAGATTTGAATCCTGGTTTCAAGACCTGAACTAATTACTGAATCCTTCTGTGCCTTGGATTCCTCATCTATAAAATGGGAATACTCAAGCCTGCCTCAGAGGATGTATTAGTTTTCTAGGGCTACCATAACAAAGAACTACACACTGGGTGGCCTCAACAGCAGAGACTGATTTTTTGGAGATGCTGGGGGCTACACATCTGATATCAATGTGACACTCAACACACACATACTGTCCGGCGCACAGGCGACGGCAACATACACAGACTGCCTGGTGCGTAGGTGACACTCAACACATACAGACTGCCTGGTGCGTAGGTGGTGCTCAGTGTTTCTACATGTGCCACTTAACTGTTTCTTTCAGTTGGAATTTGTGTCAGCCTTCCGACAAGCCCAGCGACAGGAGAATGCACTAGCGATAGTCAATTCAGGAATGAGAGTCTTTTTTGGAGAAGGGCATGGCATTATTAGAGAGTTATCCATCTCATATGGAGGTGTTGGTCCAGCCACCATCTGTGCCAAGAATTCCTGCCAGAAACTCATTGGAAGGTAAGGCATTAGAGGTAAGGGCTCCTCTAATACTTGTCCTTAGACTCCAAGTATTAAAGGAGCCCTTTTTGTGGTGAGATGTGATTACAAGAAGAAAAGTGTTCCATACCTTTCTATTTAATGGCTGGGAATTCCAATAAGATTTTGTTATTGTTTCCGTATGTCTTGATTTTAGTGAATTCTGAAGTGGGAATTATATACTCTGTGTGTGTGTGTGTGTGTGTGTGTGTGTGTGTGAGAGAGAGAGAGAGAGAGAGAGAGAGAGAGAGAGAGAAAAGCCCTCTCCCAACGGTGCCAATTTGTATTCTTTATTTTGGGAGAATAATTTGCCATGATGAAAAACCAATTATGTGAGTTTGTTCTATAATAAATTGTTGAAGGCATTTGCTTGGTTCTCCATTTGTCAAAGATGGGTGATCATACCTACCTCATAGGGCAGTTGAGAGGATTAAGTGAGTGAATACATATAGGGTGCTAAAAGCAGAACTTGGCATGCAATGAATGTCCTAGTGATATGAGGGTCAGTTACTCCTGGACTATGGATTTTATATGAGTTGTCATTTATTTCTCTGGATCATTGTGTGAGTTGGGTTCTACTAATGTTCCCCTTTTACAGGTGAGGACATGATGAGACCCAGGCTAGACACCTTGAGAGTGGTGGGCCAATTTGAACTCGGGCTGCCTGATCTAGAGCTTGTACTCTTATTTCCTGTATTAAACTGTGGCTATTTGTCTTACCCATTAGGTGAAGATA